ACAAGTTCATGGACTCATCGTACCAAGCTTTGACCATCTTAGGTGAAAACCATATGGTAATGTTTTTGAATATTTTTTAAATGATGTTTATGACTTCTTGAATATGTTGGTGTCAGTACAGTGGCAGACCCAGGAATTTACATGGGAAAAAAAATACAAAAGATTAGCATAGACATAAAATACAAATAAAATTGTCAAATCTGAAATCGTTTAAAAGTAACTTTTAGAATCTAAATTAATCCTTCCAAAATTACCAACTCAAAGTTTAGACAAAAAAAATCAGCCCAAATAGAGAAAAAAACTATAACACATCAGTCCATTAATTAATCTCTTATTACCAAGATACATGTGGGCTCGATTTGAAGTTGTTGAGAAGACCCCTTCCTCATAAAAACGCGATGAAGATGATCGGGAGAAATGGACTATCGCTACAAAATGAAGAAAAGTATTAGTGGAAAAAACGATAAAGAGTTAAAGTAAAGTGTATGAAAAATAAAGTGACGATGCATTGGAATTTCTTTGAAGTAAAATATTAAAGAGAACAAATCATCACACTTTAACAAATACAATTTAGCTCACTATCATGTTTGCTTTCCATTGTAATTTGAATAATGTAATTTCAATGAAAATGAACTTTAATTTGATAAAAGAAGTATCACAATACAGTGTATTTTCTTCTGGTGTTTTCATTTTTTCCTCTCAATCTATATTGAGGCGTAGATTGAGGCGTACATTCCCTATATTTAACCATATATACGTTAATAAAGGTTATTGTAATTTCTTTTATTTTATAAATAAACATTAAATATTAGAATTCTTATATTTTAACATCCAATGTTCAATTATTCTCCTCACTGTATAGTGTTGTGTACTTAATTTTATTTTTTTAAAGGTTGGTAAACATTCATTTACATGCTTTGTTGCAGTGTCGCTGTAGCAATAGCATCATTTTTTAGCATTTCTTGTTTTGTGCTTGCTTTTGTTGTTTTTTGATAAATGTTGTGGTTCCTGCTTTGTTTAAGTGTTGCTGGAATGATAGCATGCTTTTTTACCACTTCCTTGTGCTGATACCTACTTGGTTATAGTGTTGCAGCAAAAGTACCATAGAAGAAAATTAGATAAAATTCATAAAGCATATATAAAAGATAAAATTTTAGGGGGGGCAGTGGCCCATCCTAATCCCCTAATTTTGCCTTTGTGTGAGTAGACTAGTCGGTTAGTCATTTGAACCATGAAAATAATTGGTGAACTCCTAAGTTACCATTTTGGTCATCATGAAAATTGGACATGTTGGAAGCTTTGTAAATTTTGGATGGAACTTAGAATATGTGTTTATAGTCATTTTAAGTGATAACAAGGTGTGAAAACTAAGTTGTTAGCTTAGTTTAAGAAATATGGTGTTATATGACCATTCTTTAATATTGAGAACAATTAGGCCATGACTTGTATCTACGGCAAGTAAATGTGCTACGAAAAATGTGATGGAACCAACTTAAGCATGAGATGTAATATTATGAAATATGATTCAAGTGTTGAACTTTGGGCATGTTAACACTTGAAATGGAATCATTATGGTGTTGGTTACTTGGTTGATAAACTAGGTATAAAACAAGTGACATTATCTTGAAAGATCAAGCATTGGAGTGACTTTCTTGGAATTCAAGTAAGCTTGGTGTTGGAGCGCTAAGAGGTAAGATCTTGGTTTAGGAGATTTTTTCCTACATTGTTTGTTCCACCATGGTCCATTGGGGCTATGGTTCGATGTGTGTATGATTGAGGATGTTAGATACTTAGTATAGTTGCATTTACGTAGGACATGCTCATATTATGTTGTGGTATAGGGATTGTGGTTTATATACCTTCCTTGGGGACAAAGCCTTTGGAAGTATATGATCCTTAGGGACAAAGCCTTTGGATTACCATGTATGGATCTTCTTGGGGGAGAAAGCTCCTGGAAGGTCATGTGATTAGACTATCCTTGAGGACAAAGATTTTGGAAGCCATATGTGTTGATTATATGATATTATGTATACTTTGTATCTAATTTTTCATGGAAGAAGTGAACTTATGGGTGAAGACTGCTCTATAAACCCTGAGTTTACTGAGATATGTTATCTCACCCCATTCTGTGACATGTTTCGAGTACCACAACAGCAGTAGGAGAGCCCTCACAGGGCAAGAGGCTTGCATAGGACTAGAGGACCGTGACAATAAGACTATTAGAGATATATGTATACATGTAGTTATATTTTGAAGGATTGTATATATATTATTTTGGGTCATGATGTATAACCATTCTCTGATGTATATAGTCTTATGTCATTTTAAGCGACATGTGTATATGTTGTATATATTTTTTTTGAAATTTAGGCATGTACAATCGTTATTCAGAGATATATTGTTCTCATTAGCATGTACAAGATTACATGTTGATAACTGAGATGAGATGATCAGTGGCACAGAGCCAATATATGTTTGAATCCATAGATGGATTCTAGGATTGTATATTTGGACTGGACTTTTCTGGATTTTAGGTACAATGTACAAGATTGTAGGATTTTCATCCCTAGATTGTCTAATTTAGAGTGAAAATGTTGTCTGCAAGATCCTATCTGGGATGGTACATGTTATTATACTCGGATAGTCATTGAGCATTGATTATGGTTACATGATTGTCAAGTTAAATTTTTGTACAAGTATAAGACTGTATAGTTTAGAAGAATATGAAAAATATGATATGCATGACAATACACAAGGTAAACAGAAAGTAAAAGTTAAGTCACCTAGTTACAGAAGATACTAGTGATACTTTTCATAAGTCTTTTGCTTAAATACATATATATGATGTGCTTCTATATGCCATATGCATGTTAACTAACCGGCTCGAGACAGAGATATTACAACTTTGGTCTAAGTAGATTAGACATATATAAAATATTTTGAGTCTGACCTATTAATTTGGTATAAGCATAATTATAGGTCTAACCTAGCTTATGTATAAAAATCAAAAGGCTTGACCTAAGCTTATTTTCCTGTTTAAGCCTATTATGCTTTTAATATTGTTTAAAAATTAAAAAAGGAAAATAAAATAATATTATTTTATCAATTAAAATTATTTAAAATAAATATTTTAATTATTTTAATTAAAATAAATAATACGTTATAAGCCGACCTGTAAATTTGTAAGGCTGCTCGATTTTATTGAATATATTATATCAAACTTTATATATGTCGGACCGTATGCCCCTATCAGATCGTCTGGTCTATGTACATTCATAGTTTTCTCAATATTCATTCTATTGATAATTTATCAAGAAAGCTCGTATGATGGTTTTTATCTTTAAAAAATCTCTCTCTCTCTTAAATTTCTGACAATATTATCTCCTAACCAAATGCATGAATATAGAACATTCAATTCAAAAAAATCTTAAGAATTTCGTAAATATTTTGTAAATGAGAAAATTTTGACAATATTTTCATTTATAAATCGCATTTTACAAAATCATATTTGTGAGAGTATTCTCAGACCAAGCTCCGGTTATATTCTTTTGAATTAATTTTTCTTGAGATGTATGGACAAATTTCCTAAAAGTGATGAACGTTCATATCAGATTAAATTCCAAAATTGGGGAAAATTAAGTTTCACACACACAACTTAGGAGGCTGAATCCAAATGTAAAGCAAAACTTACACTTCGAAAAGGCCCAAGAGCCGCAGAAACTCTAGTTACATATAGTGTCATAGGTTTATACGGTTATTTGATTGGACAACAAAAATATTATTTACAAATGCAATCCACAATAGCTTGGGCCTATTTTATGAGGCGAGCAATTAATAATCAGGTTTTGCACTGCAAATTAAGGACAGTGATCATGGCCCATGTTCAGGCCCAGTGTTAATTAATGGGCAAGGTCAAACATGCAGCCCAAGTTCTAGGTCTTATATTAGATTATTCAAACTTAATTAACTATCATGAATACGTTAAGTTCAACTTATATAAACCTACTAAGACCTTCTTGATGAGAAAACTGTTGGAACAACCTAGCTATTCACCCGTCAGCCTACTGAAATACACACAAACAAAGCTGTCATCATCTAGTTAAGTAAAATTTTAACTTTAATTTAATTCATAGTGTAAAATGTTTTTACAGTAAATCACTCATTAATTCAATATCATGTTATTAAAAAAATTGACTCTTATAACAATTATTTCAAAAGTCATGCCTTTGTAATGATGTTACAATACATGATTGAGTTATAGTTTAAAAACCTTTGCATTGACCGTGTATGCCAAAATTAAACTAATTGAGTAATATTACTTATTTTATTTTTTTGTGAAACCCAAATATGGCCATATCAACATTATGATAAGTAAGGATATCTCATGATTATTTATACGCAAAAGGAGGATACTGAACTAAGTGTTGATATTCAATCTGACTTTACATTCAATCTAACATTTAAAGCGATAACTACCATTTTCTATTTTTGTCTTCAAATGCATCTAACTGATCTAAGCATAATATTCGACATGATTCATCTTGTTTTCTAGTTTTGTTTCAAACATAAAGCATGATACTGCACCTTGCAGATATCAATCAATAACTTCTGTGACACAAATTTAGGCAGCACTGCTAATAGATAAGGCATGTTTCTGATTAGTCAAGTGCAAAGCGTAGTTGACTTTACAAAATTCAGATTTTGTAGTGATCACGTGGGTATTAAAGAGCAAACATGCGTGTTAAATTGCTAATCCTCACTTCCTTATCTACATGACTACATACATTACAGAAGCACATTATAAACTCAAAGAAACAGAACTTGCCAATTACTAGCAAGTTTCTGTACTAATTACAAGATATGGCTAATCCCCAAAGGTTGCCTGGGCCTCAGGCTTATCTCTTGGCACATTGAGATTTGACTAGAGGCAATGCATGCAAGGTAGTTCCTATAACTTCATTGCAAGCATTGTGGATGAACGAGGATTCAATGACTAGTAATTAAACCTTCACAATATACAACTCTGTTTCTTTCTCCACTTTGTTGGGCTCCTCTAATTTCTGCTTGGCTGATTGCTGGTTTTCGAAATAGTCAGAAATATCAACTTTGGAATCATCAGTTGCAGTAATTGGCAGTGATTTCGTGTCCCCTGCAGCTGCTGATGGGTCTGAATAGTCCTTTGCTTTGCCCCACACAACCGAGTAAAGGCCCAGTGCGATGATAATGCCTCCAATGATACTGCCATCCATTTATAAATATTACAATATTTATCTGACGAACAAAAAGAATAAGGTGGTAATTTAGAAGCTTTTGAGTAGTTATGCTAAATAAGTTACGTACACTTTTTGCATTTTGTAACCAAAGCTTCTTTTCTTTTTCTTTTTTAATTTTAAAAGGATTAAACATAAATGAGGAATGTAGGTGTGATTATTAAATATGAAATATGTCAAGTGCAACAAGCACTCATTTCATGAACGACAAATGAATAACTGAATTTATTTTTTTCCTCTTTTTTTTAATAAAGAAATAAATGAATTGGAAAGAGAAATTAAATACATAAGAAAGAATAAATGGGCTTGGTGAGCAGAGCAAGTTGAAATAAAAAATATACCTTCCAAGATGGATTTGTTCTCCTAATATAAGCGATCCCAAACCAGCAACAATGATCATACAGAGAGGGTTAAAGGCCGTTGTAAATACGGGGCCTCTTGTTTTCATCACCATCCCTTGAACGTAGTATGCAATTCCTGAACTAACTATTCCCTAAAAAATTAAGAAACGAGATTAAAGGAAATTATTGAGATTTTTCTAACTATATAGCAACTTCTAAAATTTGAAAATGAAAACATTGATTTTTTTCCTTATGTTGTTAAATCTCTTTTTTTTTTTTTTGGATTGAGAAAAAAATGTAATATCTCATATAATCGAATTCATATCATATTTCTACTAGACAATGCATGATGTCATTGAAACCAGGCATCCGCAATCATTCACAAGCACATTAAAAATCCAATATATATACCCTTTTCGGATATGGGACCCTAACATTTAGTAGACTTAACCTTGTCTTAAATGGAACTTTGCTGACCACTCAATGAGGCCTTAAGAATCGGCCCTGAAATCTCGTGGTGTTATGTGATTGGAGATTTAAATATAATAATTAAGTCTCTTGTGACTATGTATTAGTGAGTAAAGGAGAAAATTTAGTTGAAATAGTACAAACCGCGTAAAGAGGAGCATAGAGCCTATAATCCCAACCAATGGCCCAAGCCCGGGAGTGACGCTCGGCCACAAGTGCCACTGCAGTACCTTGCGCTGTTCCCGCAAGGCATATCAAGGTCGCCAATGATAGCTCCGCTGGGTATCTTTTTACCGTTATGGACTGCTTCCCACAAAAAGACACAAAATCGCACATACTTCAATTCATGATTAACATTAGTGCATTGATTACAAAGCAAAATGCTATTTACTTTTTTGTTTCTTAAATATTTGAGCTAATTATCTTTATGAAAGTGGAACACTAGTTATAACTAAGTGTGAAACTACTCGTTTTGGTATATTTTTACAGGGTTTGGTGTTTCTCATTTAAAATGACATAAGTTATGTTATTTTAGAAGAGAAATAGACACAGAAAAATATGAAAATCATGAGAGAGAGAAAATGAGTGATTTTTTTTAATTTAAAATTTAAATAAAAAAAATTTCGTGTCTGTCTTTATCTTAAAATAACATAACTTTATGTCATTTAAAATGACAAACACTTTTCTCATTTTTATATTCTCTCTTCTCTATTTTTTTATTTTTAATTTTATAAATTAGAAAAAATAACATAACTTTGTGTTATTTAAAATAATAAATATTTTTTCCTATATGACTTTAATGTTTCTAGAATGAATGTAGATAAGATATCTACATTCACTCCCAAAACGACGTCATTTTAGATTGAAAGATTAAAAAATTATAATAAGAAAGACTATTATAACCCTGAAAAAAATTATAATTACAAAAATACCATGATACCCCAAAACAAAATCGTTTTGGGCTCAATGTAGATCAGTTATCTACATTGACTGTAGAAAAATGAACATATATATATATATATAAATATATATATATGGGAAAATATTGTCTCCTTTTAAAAAAGAAATTTTTTTCCTACTAGTGACTTATGTTATAAGTGGGTCCCACTTTAAAATTCTTTCTCTCGACTATTTTGTAGACCCCACTTATGCCATGACACACTAATAGGAAAAAAAAATTATAAAGAGAAAATGATTTTCATATATATATAGGGTTCATTTTTTCTGCAGTTAATGCAGATAAATTATCTGCATTGAGCCCAAAATGACATCGTTTTTGTAATCAAAGTGTTTTTATAATTTTAATTTATTTCAGGGTTATAATAGTCTTTATATTTATAAATTTTTAATATTTCAACATCAAAAGGACATCGTTTTGGGAGTAAATTTCAGATAACTTATCTATAATAACTGCAGAAATACTTTTCTGATATATATATATAGGGGAAAGATCCGTTTACAAATTTTTACAAATTACACTATGTACTCCCGAAAGTACCTAGTGTACTTCCAGGAGTACATAGTGTAGTTTGTAAGCAAAAAATTTGTAAATATGATGCTCACCATATATGGAAAAGGTTATATATAAACTTTTTTTTTTACAGACTCTTACAAACTACACTATGTCTGACCAATAATACTCTACTCAAAAGTGTATTATCAGTCAGACATAGTGTAGTTTGTAAATTTGTAAAAAAAAGTTTGTAAACAGATCATTCTCCATATATATATATATATATATATATATGAGGTACGATCCTTTGACACTTCATCTGAGAGCCGTTAGATCAATGTTGTCACATGCTTACAAATCAGAGTTGTTGATCTTTTTAGATCTAACGGCTCTCAGATGAGGTGTCAAAATTTAAATTTAACACTGATGTCAAAGGATCCTACCTCTTTCTCTATATATAAAAATTGATAGTGGAACCCACATGTATTTTTTAGTCAGTTGGAAAAAAGTTTTGACTTGCCACATCGTGACATGACAATTGTTTATTCCAATAAATATATATATATATATATATATATATATATATATATATATATATATTAGGCATTACTTTTCTGCAATAGCGGTAGAGAAGTAGTGTTTGTCTCAAAGATAAAAAAAGAGACACATTAAATTAAAAAAAAATTATCAGGATCCAATGTCGTTCTTGATAGTTTTTTGTATGTGATAGACAAAGTATTTTTTCCACAACTGCAGAAACACTTTTGCTATATATATAAGAATAATAAATTTTATATTGAAATTTAGCCATTACTTTATATGTATATGATGATTGTCATTTATAAAGTTAGACTCACAAATTAAATTAATTAACAAACAAACCAAACACTTAAAATGAGACCCACACCTTTATTTTTTTTTCCACTTTCTCTTTTCTATTATCTATTTATTTCTCTCACTTAAAATGACACAACTTTGCATCTTTTAAAATGACACACACTTTTCCCTAATTTTTAATAAATTATCAACAACTAAATTTAACTCTAGGACTTATTGTTCTTATATTAAGTGTTATATCTGGTTCTATATATAATATATAAATTCGTGGGGTTTACCTGCAAAATGTAGAAAGAAGACAAAGCTACACAACCCAATAGTATATAAACAGCTCCAGTGGTTTGGTGGGAGGAGTGGCTTCCATCTTCATGATGGGTTGTGCTTCCAGAATGAAAAAGGTTGAATCCAGGACCTTTGTAAATTGCCATTAGCAAAGCACCTCCAAAAGTTACTAATGTTCCAATCACTTTGGCTTGACTTCGAACCTCCTTAAATTTTAGAAGCTCCAACCTAAAGAAAAACGAAAGGAGTATCTAGCCATATTAATCCATAATTTACATGCATGGATTGCATACTATATTGCACTTAATTGAGTAATTATTCAGTATTGTTTATGTACACTTTTTTTTTTATATATATATGTAAATAGAAGTAAGTGAGTTTTTATGCAAATCCAGTGTGCGTTCCCATTTATATGGAAATGAGTAAACTGATATCCTATTTAATTAGTTACCGGATAACGACTGCAAGCAGAAAGGTGATAGAGGGAACAGAATTCGTAATAGCAGATGTGAATGAAGCCGAAGTGTACTTCATCCCCAAGTAACTGAAGCTTTGATTAAAAACTGGCCTGGTCAAAATTAGCCATGTAACTAACAAGGTTATTATCCTAGAAAAGAGGATAGTTCTCGCCAATTAAATGGGCATAAAGTGCAAGTAATTAAATATGCGTTTATATATTCCTCATATGAATATATGTAAAGTTTTAGATAATTACTCCAGAAATCCTAGGACCATTATTTGTAGAAAGACTGGAAGTGTCATCTTGGGCCTACTTTTCCTGAAAAACAATATATTTAAAAAAAAAAAAAAAAAGCAATGTTAATTAAAATTGACTAACCATCTTCCATGAATCGTGAAAGACCCTGATAATGGAACGTACACTTTTAATTAGATGGAAATATTAAGGAAGATACAGAATGAATAGGCTGAAACTAGTCAGTGACACCTTTCAACAAAGAATGCGAAAGGGGCAAGGACAATTGTGGCCATGGCATTGCGGTAGACAAGGAATACAAAACGACTCATCCCATGATTAAGAATATCCTTGCCCAAGATGTAATTGCCAGCCATGCCAAATTGCAAGCCAATCATTAACAGGTATGGTTTTGCATTAGTAAACAACAAGCGTAATCTGCCAATATTATTTTCGGCACTCATGGTTGATCAGTTACTGATCTAAGAAAAGAAGAGTGAAGAGAAATGATGTGGTTTGTTATGAACAACACCTTGAGACAATACGTGAGATGGATGGCCTTCCTTTTATACACGAAAAGCAAAAGTGAAAGTACTGTCTATAATAGTAATGCCCCCAAACACTTCTCTACTTAAGTTACAATTGGACACAACACTATGACTGTTCCGAGTTTAGGTGGCAAAGCTATATATATTTGTTTAATTAATATAGATGGTCCTAACCGATCGAGCAACTGTATTACAATTACGACTAAAACATTCTCTAAGTATATAGATGCATGAGTGTTTGTATTAAGTTATTTTTAAAATTTTAAAATTAAAAATATTATTTTTAAAAAGTAATTATTAAAAAAAAAGTTTACTAAAGATACTATCATACTCATACAACAATTATAGGGCATAAAATCTAGTTTAGACTGAATAGAATAGAGAAGTGCAAGGCCCCAATAACCACAGTTTCTGTCCTTTTACTATAAATGAGAGTCAGTTTCCACTTTTTCTGCCACAATTTGGTATTTAAGAAAATAGGTAACAGCGGGTACGGAGATCAATTTTTGACTTGCGACTTTCTGTAGCTAGACTTCTAAAAAAAAAAAAGTGAGAGAAGGAGGGAGTTTTTTTTCTTCATATTTTTTTATTTTGACTATAAAGTATTTTTATCTATTTAGAGAAAGATTAAGTTTTACTATAATGTTAATTTAGTTTTGATTATAAGAATTTTTAGTGGAGTTTAAATCATTACGTTTACAAGAAATTTAGTTCGCTAACTAAATCATATCTCATAATTAAAAAAAAATAGCAAATATTTAAGAATTATCTTATGTTAAAGTAAAAGTGTCATTATGTTTACCGAAAAAAAAAATTCATTATACAAACTTTTTATTTCATAAAATACACAAAAATCAAATGTAGAACATTGTTTTATGAAACAAAAGAGAGAGAGAGAGAGAAAAGATTGAATTCGTAAAGTAAAAGTTAAAAGTAACAACTTATGTGTGAATAAGAAAACTATATTTTAAATAAGAGAAAGTTTATATTGACAATTATTTTTTTTGCAAACTACGCTATGTCTTACTGGTAAGACTTCGCTCAAGAATATCTTATCGTCATCGGTAAGACATATTGTAGTTTGTAAATAAAAAATTTATAAATATTAACCTTCCCCTTTAAATAAAGGATTTGTCTTTAAAGAAAATTATTCTTAGCAATTAAAAATATATTTAATGTTTCTCATGGTGTAAGTGATAAAATAATTTTCTATACATACATAAAAATATGTGGCACTCATATGGAGCCATATAAAGAGAAGAGAAGAAAAAAAAAAACTAAATTTCATATACTTTTATATGTGTATAAGAGACAATTTTATTTTTTACAACATAAGAAACATTAAAGCTATTAAAAATAGTAGAAAAAAGATGATTTGACTGTCATTTTCTCTCCCCCTTTCTTTCTTTATTTTTCAGTGTGCCCTTCGATTCTTTCTTTTTCATATAAATATATATATATATATATAAATAAATAAAAGGAATATTGTATAATTGAAGGAAGAGGAATTTGATTGACTCCTCCTGATATGGCAATAGGATAATATATAGTGGTACCACGAGTCATATTATTATAAGTTTGTGAACAAAAAAGAATATGATATTAACCGCTTTGAAATGGTACCACGGAATGAATTTTATCACGAAATCATTCAGAAGTTTTACATGAAAATATGTCATTACAAACTGTAAACAATTTAAAATGGAAGACATTTTGGCTATCAAAAAATAATGGAAGACATTTCGATTGAACACAAGTGTAGGACTCACCTCTTGTTTTTTCTGAATATGGACCTGAACTCATCGAATATGAATTATCGTGTTGTCTAGAATTCCTCTTATTTCCCATCTTAAATTTATATTTATTATCTTTTACATTTCGTACTTCCACTTCATTCAATTTGTCTTTGGTAATACACTTCAAATCAATTCAACCCAAAAATTAAGTCGTTGGTTGAAGACCTCTTTAATGGTTTATATTATTCTCTAACACATTTCCTCAAGTAAGAGGGCTTTGGTTTTGAAGCATAGATATTTCATAAACTTAATTTTTGATTTACCTATACTTATTCAATTCTTTTAAAAAATGAAGGTGGTGAAGATCAAACTTGTGACTTTGTAATCACTAAAACTTTGAAATTATGTAAAGAATCAATTTAATCCAAAAGCTTAATGTGTTGGGTAAGGACCTTTTGATTTTAATAGTTTATATTATTTTTTAACACATCTTCTCACACAAATCAATGAAACCTAATTATATGAAGTAATATTATTCAAATAATGCAGGAAGAATAATTTGCCTTTGTCATTGTCATAGCTGTCCATTTGGTATTAGAGGTCTGCACCAATTAATATCGGATCAATCTGAAATGAAATTTTGGATACTTATTAACATGGGATGAAATCAAAGATGGTTTTTTTCTTTTTTAACAGTATCATGAGCTGCTCAAAAACTTTTTTAGATGTGAAACTAACTTTTATTAAAATGTTACCTTTATTCTAATCATGCATAAAGGTGTTTTTAGTTATAAACTTCAGATTCACGAAGCGCGCGCAATTTATCGATTGAGCTATTCGTAGTTGATACTTAATCATAGAAGATATTAATGCCAAACCATCAATCACAACTTTTATGGTGCTAATACTTAATAGTAAATAAAAGAAGCCATGCAATTAAGAATTAAAGAATTTTTCAGAGAAAAAGTCAGGTTAGGTAGCAAACCAAAAAGTGTATAGACCTTGTTTCAAAATTTCTAGTTTCTTTAATGTGAGTGGAGTGGTCATTACATAAATAAACACACTCAACCACACGTATGAAATGAGTCTTTAAATTTTTGGATAATGATCGTACTTGGTGAAAGATTGGAGAGAGGGAACCCAGATATTGCGGCATAGCATTATATTCTTTTTCCATATATACCACAAAACTAGCAGAAGAGAGGAGGAAGCTTTGGCTGTACATGCGCATATATGGGAACAAAATTGGATCATAGTCATATTATTTTCTATGATTGTTTGGGATAAGCAATTAAAGATGAGTATCATGCTATATATTCGTCAAATTTTTATTTGTTGAAAGAAGCTATAATTTTTAATTGCGATATATCGTCTTTTTCCCTGTAATGGCTTATGCTCGTTTATTACTTAACATCTGTAAATATGTATAGTTCATATAGTTGTTTCCAGTTCAGCATTGCATGGCAGACAAAGACGGGTCCAGAAAACTAGCTAGTGCCTTTCCTTTTCTTCTGATGACCTTTTCTTCTTTTAGTTTAATACTCTCAATCTAAGTGGGCGACGTTGCCAATTACCACGGTTACATTTAAAGTTCAGCACTTCAGCAACTACTAAGTACTACATATATAAAATAAAAAGTGTTCATGTTTTTGAACCGAAATATATATACTACATATATAAAATAAAAAGTGTTCATTTTTTTGAACCGAAAAATATATATATATATATATATATATATATATATATATATATATATATGGGTTTATCATCTATCATTTAACATTACCACACACAACATTTTGTGGGGCTCGCAGCAAAAAAAAAACTTTGACACGTAAAACGAATCTCTATAACATAACACAATCAATTTTCCTACAACATAACTCTTATAAAACCCTATATATATATATATATATATATATATATATATATATATATATATATATATATAGTTTAGTTGATGTACAATGACTACACTTAAGGATGAGTGTGGTCAACTATGTACTTCCGAAAGTATATCAAAGAAGAACGGTGTACTCTGGTGTACTTTCGCGAGTACATAATGAACCACACCAATCTTTAGAAATAATTTTTCTATAATATATATATATATATATATATATATATATATATATATATATATATATATATATGGTAAAACATTTCTGCAGCCGCTTTACATACAACAACGACAGGTGTATGATTATGATTTTTCACATTTAATACTTTCATCCTTTGTATGGTTATGATTCTCTGCATTTAATGCTTTCAACTATATATAGCAAGTATTTGATTGCTGCACGTACAACAGCTGCATAAATATAAACCCTTATATATATAATTCATTTTTAAACATATCGATGGCTATTATTAAAAATTCAATTTGATGCTGGGTAATAGCATTTGGACTAAAACCTCTCTCATATGTGATTAATATTTAATAAAGTTTGAACTCATTTTTGTTATAATCTATTTTTTCTTGTAATAGTTATTGCATTTATCAGGCCTTGTTTGGCATACTTATATAGCAGCGGAACTATATAATTTGTTTGAGGTGCGGACTGTATATATCCGTTGTATATGATAAATCTTTTTTTTTGTTGGTAAAAATATATGATAAATCTTTTAACTGCTTATATAAAGTTAATGTATAAAGAATATTTTTAAGTTCGGAGTAGCGACGACCCCCCACACATCAATTTTTTTGGTAACTTTCCAATCATCAATTTTATCATGACTATGCATTAATATAAATCTTTTTTTTTCAAATTAATTATTAAACTATGACATGCGCCAGATTTTAAATTATCTGGATGTTAGAAGTCATCTTGTATACCCCAATAATAAGAAGTAATTTCAAACTACGTACTATAAAGTTTTACAAATATGATAAAAATGATATTATTTTTAAAGCAATCTTATAAAAAAAATTCATAAATTGTTCAGAAATTATGCCTTTTTACAATGGTGACAGTTGACTCGAATTGTACAATATATCTCATGTACTTTTAAAGTGGCATAAAGAATTAAAAAAATGTGAAGCTCATATCCTAGTGATCACTGATTGTACATGGCGGCGGACATCATCTTATGTACATTTATAGTAAGTATATTTGTTATTCAACAAGTGATATTTGGATAAAAAAAATATTTTTCTCTCCTTTTCATACAAGTATGATA